GGGGGGGGGGGGGGATTCGAAGTTTGTTGAATTATAGGAAATAACAAAAAAGCCTTCATCTGTGTCAAGTTTACAAAATAACCCGGTTATGACCACAAATTTACCATCTTCAATGTCTTCGGAGAAGGTTTTTATTAAGGGATTAGCGATAAATTTATTACTCACCAGATCGTCAGGATCTTCTTCCGGTACGATACTCAAGAATCGGGGTGAAAGCAGCTTCAGCGTTTTGTCGTCGAAATTGCTCACATTTTTACCAGTTGCGGCCAAGGCAATCTAGAATAGCAACAGTAAATCTCATAAATCTTTTCACTTCAAAAGTTATACTGTATCCAGCACACAGTTGCAACACAGGGCAACTTTTAACCGGACTGGCCATAGAAAAATTTGTGATCTTTCATGAAATGCAACAGCCGATTGATCCGAACAATAAACATTACCTTGATCGATTCACGAACAAGTTTCATTGGAACTCGTATTTCTTCCTTTTTCTCCATTCCAATCTTCTTTTTCATCGCTAAGTCTTCGTCTTCCATTTCCATCTAGATATGGATACAATGATAATAATTACAAGACTTTTGAGAATTTTCTACATTTTCGATAGCATGGTCTTTACCCGCGCAGGGTCTATCCTGACATCCTCGTTGGGTCCACCCATAGGTTTTATACAAGAGAACATCTGAACTAGGATCATAGCCGGTCGACCGGTTCAGGATCTCCATAGTTTCCATTCCCAAGCTCCTCGGCGACAACGCTCCAAGGACCGTAAGCTTATGACCATTTGAACCGCTCTTCTGAAGTCGGATATAGGTCTGCGGTCTTCTGCTTGCCTGAACGGCATACCGCGCTTGCTGTATCCTCTTGGGCACTACGAATGGGTAGATTTTAATTTCTGCCCCCTGGAAATAGTACTCGGACTAAAAGTTCTCAAACGCCTTTTGACTTTCCAGGCCAATAATAGGAAAAAAGGCTGACACTTCGGTCAGCATATAGCTTATCGGTAGTCTTGGCCGTTTGGTGAATAAGTGAAGTCTGCACCAATCAAACCGGTTACTTATTTTGTTACCCCGCACGATTATCGCCTTTTGTATAAAATGTCGTGTAATCTTTGTGTGATCATCTATTTCGCTCAGGACTGGGACCGGAGAACCAGCGTTACTTCATCGCCGCTAAAATTTACATCGTAATCACCTGTCTTATGGCTGCAGCCTTTCTAGGATCTTGAAAATCGTCTGGTGTATTGTCAATCATTTGTCGAAGCCGTTTTTTCAATGCTTTTCGCTGTTTTGCCATCATACGCGCCTCTTTTCCTATGTGTTTGATACGTTGAATTGCTGAACGCCAGCTGAAATGCGGTTCATCTCTCGGGCTGAAAATATAAGTGTTTTGTATGGAAATCATGACAAGATAGGAAGACACGATCTGATGCGAGAGGCCAGAGCTGGAATATCTCGTTAGAAATTTTCCCTCTTTTCCTTTGCCTGGTTACCAACCAACCTCTGGGTTCCATCAGTCTTGTTCTTGAATTTACGAATAGTTTTGGCAGTTTGTCGAACCACCTTGGAAAAGAAGGTTTCGTCATCGATTGAGGTGAGGTTGTAGGAGGTGCGATTCACCAGCTAAAACTCGTCAAATAATTATTTGTGAAATATTGGAAATATGAAATAAATAATCGAATGAACTTGAAACAGTGCTAGAACAATCGTGCTGACTAATTTGGCTGTGTCAATGACACTTTTCTCCTGCTTCTATTAGGCTTAAACCTCTACTTTTGCAGATTCCTGATGAACCCGAAGATCTGCCATTTTCCCCTCATATTTAGATAATCTACCCATCATTTCGATCATAAACTTTCAGCGAGATTACCTGAGTGTATGGTACGAGTTTCCGCCCGTTGCTTGGCGAGATAACTAACTAGTGCAAAAATCGATTGGATTCATTACCGGATAGGACTAACATATACGATATCGTTACCGCACTCGCTCTTCGAACGAAAATGGGAATATATCGATATTATTACCACTCAGTCTTAGAAGAATCTCTATATGTGTAATTTTTGGGTCTATACTTATACATATTAGGCTTATGATATCATAGAATTCCTTATTTGTGCTTATTTACTTTACTCTTATATGCAAGCATTTTCAAAAAACTGGCAGTAGACCTCACCTGAACACTTCTTTTAGCTCTGGCCAGTCGGAAGCCACCAACCCATTCATCATTCTGTTTGGGGATGAACTCCTTTATTTTTCGTTTTATAGGCTTGCGTTTCACAGGTGAAATACGCTTACCTAAAGATCGAGTGATATGTCGATCTGATCGATCGATTCCACCTATAAGTATTGAAGTACAGCTTTATTTGATTTTTTATTTATATTTGTCACTTTTTTATAATAACCCGCAATTTTCGTCAATACTAGTAATTTCAATTGCTGTTGCTTCTAATTTATTTGTTTAAACGACATGATGAGGTTAGTGCAAGTCAGATTCCAAAGTCCCGTGAACTTGTGATACAGTAACCACCATAATGCCCCACAACTCACCCCCTGCGCCTAGTGGATAAGTTCTACGCCAGATTATGACCGCAGCCCTAAGTTCCACGAAGAAGGCGTTTTGTTCACGTTTCAGCACCTCTTTGATGTTTGCATTTCTATGGCTGATCACTCGGAAATCTTCCAATGGAAATTTCCCATTCCTGTGTGCTGTACTTTTTAGTTACAGTATTATATCATTACTTTCAAATATGTTAACTATAATGCTACCAATTATTGCTGATAATTTCCATGTACTATCGAATGAGGCAGAAGGATTCTCTTTGACTTACTTTTAACAACTTTTGTAGGAATTCGTTTGACGTTCGTTGGAATTCGTTTGATGTGACGAGTAGTGTCCAACACTTTAACTACACATCGAGCATGATCAGGTACCGTGTAAGCCATCTTGGAACATCGATGTATTTCTTCACGATCATCCTCGTCCAACTGATCAAGCCTATAATTGGCAAATGAACAGGATCCTGCAAAAAGGGACCGTGCTGGTTTATGAATGTCATAGAGTGGTATTAGTCTGGTCTCTGTCCACTTTTATTCGCCTTCCTATTAAGCACTTTACGCAGTTCTCGAATAATCCGCAAAACGCGCAAATCATCTTTTCCTTAAAGTTGTGGAGCGATCAGTTCCTGATGGGTGCACAGGGTGGATGGAGCGGTGGGGGAAGAAGGCGCAGCGATGAGGCACATGCTCTGCTAACCCATCACTCTCATAAGCCAAATATTACTGCGTGTTTGATTCTGTACACTTACCGTACTCATGCAGCCAGTATAAAACCGTGGTGTTCTACTAACAAGTTTCAGTTACGCAGAGATTAACACTGTTTCCTCTTGAAAACCCACCATAGAGCCGCCATGAAATGGCAGACTTTTCCCGACTTATCCCCAAGCTCTCGCAACGATTCCGAACGATTGGTATTCGAAAACTAGACCCGTCGTAATTTGAGATAGTTCTTGGAGTTCATATTTGGGCGCATAATAGTGTGCCTGACGGAATTGATACTTCGCGTTGGCTAATGGGCGGCGGGCGATGGCCGATCGATATGCCACGTGATCGGTTGGCCATTGGGCGACTCGCCTTATATTCGAACGCCTTGGGAACGTGGATGTGGCTTGAATCAATCGATGGTCGATTCGATGGCCTTCGATTTCATTCATCAATCGAAATGAGCAAGAAATATGATTCGGTCCATGTACTCGGTTCTTAAGGGTGGTTCTCCCGTCCCGAAAGGGCCATTCATCTTTCATTGATGAGAGTTTTTGTCAGAGGGGAGGATCAGATCATTCCTGAAGGTTCGATATGTTTGTGAACCCGTATGACATGGACGGACTGGTAGAATATACGTAAGCAGCTAGTCGGTACCGTTCGAACTAGTAATCACATCAGTATCGGACAGCGGTTCATGTTGGGTAAGGAACCTTTGGGCTTTTGTATTAGTGAGTTGCTCCTACTGGTTCAATTTATAGGTTGTAAGCAGGAGCTTTGGAACAATAGATGCACCAACTGTGAACCTCATATTCTGAATCAAATAAAATCGTGACTAGTATTTCACCAAGCAATTGCATAGTCAGAAATGAAGAACTGGCACAAATCGTACAAAAGGAGGCGTTTCTGCATGAATACCGATTACCCTGTAGAGCAGGGAAGAGCGGTAGTAAAGGGTTACACATACAGGGAGAAGCTCTCGAGTTGCATGCATAGATTCTTGTGCATCACACCTTTTTCATGTTCTTCATCTGAATATTGCTGAATTGGTGTCATCCACTATTTCGAGTCGATCTTTTCCGGTGCAATTTTCGAATTCACTTTTTTCTTGCCGCTTGCGGGACGGCGAAACGGAATCGAATAATTACTGCTGGCTGGCGATGTACATTACGCCCTTACGGTTAGGGCAACTCGGCGTGTCAGGCAAAGAACTTTCAACCAGTCAAGTCCAGCAGACGCTGATGATTCAGGATGGCCCAGAGAATTTAGCTTCAAACAAGACAAATCCAAGGAGTTAAAGAAAACTTTTTCGCAGCTCGATCCCGTTTCGGGATTCGCCTTGTACTCTACTTGTACTTGGAATTGTACTGGCATTTGCTGGCGCATTTTGGCTTCACCATTACTGTGAGCCAGTTGGGTTGAAGTTTATATTGACACGTGGTGATGGCTTCAAAACTCTCAAGCTACTATTTCTTCGACGTAGCTTCGTGGCGTACGATTGTTCTGGCCACTTATCCTTGATGATCGCTCCCGGTCCAAGAATAATCATGAAAACTTTTGCCATTTTTGAGTGCCAGGGCTTAAATGCCCCTCGAAATCACAATGGAGCGTTGTCGCTGTCGTGGCTGTGTAAGGTTAAAATCTCTTATCTCGGGATCTAATACGAAAAAAGGTGTAGAGAACCTTTCTGCCCACACTGAATTAAAATTCTTGCCGTTCTTAGCGAACTCGTTCGGACATACATACGAATGGACTCGAAATTTGATTTATAGAACTGATATCGAGACAGGCCAAGCTAGTTTCTTGCGTAGCTGAAAAAAAAANAAGAAAAATAATGGGTTTCGAGCTTGTTTTCTTCAAACATAGATACCTATCTCGACGAAGCTGAACAGAAAAAACCTCTACGTCTCACAGTGTTGACTGGCAATTGTGGGCAACTTCAGCCTCCGACGGGACTTGAACCCGTACTTTCCAGCCATGCGCTCTTTTTACCTTACTACCGAGAACTTCTTGTCTTCCAAGACCACATAAAAATGGCTCGGCCGAATCTCGCAGAGGGAAAGGCGAAAGAAAGCATCATGTAGGTGGAGATCTTTGCGTATCACAGTTCACCATACTCTCAATCATATACTTGAGCAGTATATAGCAGTGTTACCCAAGAAAGTCCACTTTACCCCCCATAACCACGCCACCTACTTACAACACACCTATGTAAGTTCAGTTAATGAAGTCAAAATAGTACGACAACCAAAATAATTAGTAGATTACCTATGTCTGAAGAACAGCGGCAAGCCTCTTAAGAGGTTCTAGGGATGTTGAAGGAATTGTTGGATCGTGCGATCAAGATCTCAACATGCGAGGTACCTTTGTTTTTATAACCTATCGAATCCAGTCCATTTTTGATGATCATTTCATCTCCAAATTCCTAAGATGACACCTTTCTTCAGATCCCTACATTTTTTTATAATGGGGTACTATTTTAAAAAACCTTCTTTTAGTGTGAAACACAGGAGAGAGGAAAGCAGAGACACGATGCTCCGTTTGAGAGGAACAAAGTATGGCCTGCAAGCCCTGGATGGCAGTGGGCACCAAAACGCTCGAATTTTCTCTCCTTTTGAGGGAGATGGAAAGAGGTGACAAATATAAGAGAAACTCTGGAATAGTAAAAAAAAANNNAAAAAAAAACCTGGTATATTTATAATAGGAAAAGTTTTCTTTTTTGACCCTGTTTGACTGATGGGACGATTATCAAATAAAGGGTAAGATATTCAGATAAACCTCTACCATTTCCTTTTTTGCACGCCTATCCTAGTTTTGATTCAACGGGGGACTTGCCTTTGATTCACTTCTTCCGATGATAGCGCTTATTGGACTTACTTAATACAATCTGCGTTCAATAACTAACTGACGGTCAAATATGGTCTGCTCTCAAAAGCTTAGGACTGCATATGGAACCTGGTTCGGATCGAACGAAGAGAACTGATAAGTGAACCCGCTGCAAAAAGCATGATTCCGAATGAACGTGAAAAGTTCGAAATTTTCTAAGGCTATTAGGGTTTAACCCACTTCCATGTATCAATAATTACCATTACTTTCTATTTATAAAAATAGAAAGTAGTAAACAATAGAACAAATAAGAAATCAATACTCAGGGATCTAAGGGCGTTAAAGGATCCTCCTTGAGGGCCATTAAAGGATATCAAGCAATTAGAGGTTTCAGGTATGATCTTTGAATAGTTTCACAATGGGAGTTCACAAGGACCTTGCTTCACGCCTACACGAACTTTCCGCAATCACGAGCTTTTTTGAACTGTTAATCCAACTGGGCACACTTGGGTTTTCCTTAGACATTTCACAGCAACATTTGAATCTGATGTAGAAGATCTGTACTCACCTTCCAGATGTTACGGCCGCCATCAATCCTGACAGTGCTTGGCTTAGCCATTTGTCGAAAAGTTCCTCGGAGGCATTGGCATCGATTGGTATCCGGAGTGTGTTACCGTCTTTGTAGGCATGGTTGACTGGCAGTTGTGCTGCACTGGGCTGTACAGCAAGTCCGACTGGAAAATACCAAATGAGGAATATGTGATTTGAAAAATAAAGGGTAGAGTTAGTTAATAAACTGGGCAAGATACCATCCATTTAAGCGTGCTCTAAGAAGATTTGTGTCCAACTCCCATTTTGTCCTATCAAGGACTCATAACGAGCTCTTCTTTCTGGGATACAGTCACTTCATTGCTACTAAAAAAAGCTGGCAATTTGAAATTTAATCCAGAGTTAATCATTCCCGATTTTGAGGTTCACCCTCGCCCTCGATTTCCATTCAGTATTGTAGGCTGGTCTGAGTGCGTACGTGGCTTATACAACGACTTGGGCAAGCCTGCCAATATCCAAGTCAGTGCTTTCATTCCCCCAGAGGAGTACTGACCTACCGAACAGGTCTCGGACTGATGGAAATCTTCTTTGGCTCGGGTGAGCATCGACCTGGTCTTCAGGTGAAGTTGTAGTAGAGGGGTCTTCTGGCAGTACATCAGCTCCCCCCGTTATTACCCCATAGAGCCAAATAACACAGCTTCCAGTAGATAATATATCGTCAGCTAGCATGCACTTTTGGTTTTTAAGGTGAAGCCTAGTTGAGGAGAAAGTATCACTCAAGAAGCTTGGAGGGAATGCATTAGCGACAATAATTTCATATGGTGTTTGTATGTGTGCTCGAAAACACTTAACGATATCAGGTTTTATAGAATGGCTGAGGGAAGGGAGTAAGCAGTGCAGTATCTCAGACTTAGTCGATTATCAATTGGCAAGTTATTGTTTTGATCGAATTTACCTCCCCCTGTCTATATGGAAACGACAGCTGAGTACATGGCGTATTCCGAAGGAAGCACAAAGCACAATATCTCCGCATACTTTCCATTTTCGCCCGTGAATTATAACGTGTTCTTCGAACTCCGGTGTCTTCCCGATGTCCGGCGAAAAGGAATCCGAAGGTCTTCGCGCTGATAAGTCCCGCTCCAACAAAATAATCAGATGCGGAAGAGAAAAACCATTACACGCTAGTTAATTCAAGTATGAAACAATTCGTGAACTCGCAAACAGCAGCAGCTTGTCGATCATTCAGTACTTAACGTAAACAAAAATAACTTCAAAATATCAAGTTCTTAAAGTTCTCATGCGAGAAGTAAAAAAAAGATATTCAAAATAGACAGGTATCAAGATAAGGCTTATGTAGCTGATGGTTTGTACAGCACCCCCTTACTCCTACTCCGCTCTCACCTACCTTCTTTCCCGTCCACCTAATCGTGATCTCGTCCTTTCCTACTTTTTTTTCCCTTACTTATAAAAGCACAGAAACATAAAAGGGGTGGGCTGTACTCCTTGAAGTGCTCGGAAGATATGAAATTATTTCATGCCTGATCAACTAGGAGATTCTTGAGGATAAACTAAAGTTAGATGCCTCCAAAAAAGCTGAATCAGCAAAAAACTCATAGAACGAGTGACTGCAAGGTAAAGGGTGACAATGAAGAGCAAGGGCTCCTAATGACATCGCGTAACCCCTGTACCTTACTTACTAACTTGCGACAAAAAAAGTGAAAGTTGGCTCATCTACTCCATAGAGCGAATGTATACGATAATTGTTCTCAGAACCCCCAGTATTAAATAGGCATTCTCGCTGTTGCTCTGTTGCATTTATCTACTTGTTGGGGCAATACCTTCAAACTAGTTTATGCACTACAGTATCCTATGCGAACAGTTGGGATGGGGCGCACTTGGGCAATTAATAATAGAGTCATAGAAGCAGTTCAAAGGTTTATTAATAATCAAATCCCCATCCCCACTATCTGTAATTACAAACACACTCAGTACAGGCTTTATTAAAATCCGTGCCTAGAAGAGGATTGCTGCACCGAATAACAGCATATTTGAACTCTTAATCGTTTTCAGTGAGGCTGGAGAGTTCTTTGTATAAAGAGAAACTTTACTTAAACTCAAGAAGTGCCGAGACTATTTTAGGGTCTTAAGAAATTCCGGGACTGCCTAGGTAAAGTTAATTTCATGTTGAATTAAAAAAAAACGAAAAAATGAGGAAAACGACATGGCAAATATGATAACTTGACAACTAGTAGACAATGGGGAGACATAGCAACTTTCCCTCAGAAAATGAGTATTTTGTACTTGAATCAGCGGCTACTATGTTCCCACATACCTGTGAGTACTGAGAGCAATATCAGCATCACATACATCATGTCTGTTGATGAGGACTGACGCACTTCTTGCCAGAAATACCGTAGTCAGTTTTAAAGGTGATCTGAAGCCTTATATAGAGGTAGCGCCACGCCCGTACACCGTTAGCTCGTGTCTGTGTGTCATTTCCGCGCGCATCTGTAGGAGCGAGCTACGTGCACTTTTCGTTGAGCGCGGGGATGGCGATGGCGATGGATAGAAGAGAACGAAGACGACGAAAGGCAAGTTCGTAGCATCTCGAGCGCTCGGTACCCCGGTTGTGACCGACGAACAATCGTCTGCACCGGGACAGGTTCATTGGCGCGAAGTGCATTAGCAATCAACGGTCATCCTCGACACATAATTCAAGAATCGTTGTGAATTACGATGAATTCAACGATGTTCCAAAGAAATGGCACCGATCAGGTTTCCGGCTTTCGCTCCCCCGCTCACGCGAATAACGGAATTGGTGGTCATGCCTTCCTCTTTCGTGCCCGTTACTGTAGTTGACAAAAACTTTTCGGAAAACTCAACCGGAGGCTCTCCAGGGCTTCAGTTTGAATTTGTTGCGAGTTCTGGGATGCCTTTACATTTGAATTTCAATCAGAATCATAGCGGTGCTTGACTACTTGAACGGTCTTCGTTCAGAGAGTCCACCAATAAGAATCACGGTGTCCATACTACCATGAAGCCCATCACCCATGCCCACCTTAGCAGAATGGGCTTGGTCGATCTGTGATACCAACCCAGGATTCAATCACCTGGTCGAACTCGTAATGGCAGCAACTTGGAAGTACTCTAGTTCTCTATTCCCGTGAATCCTTCAGAACCTGTAAATGATTTCCAACCACGTTCTGAAATTCCGCACAGAACCTCTATGAGCTAATTAGGGAAAAAAATGTCGATCCTTACCAAGAAGCACTATAGCCGATCATGCAGGCTGCAATAGGTCAGGAGTCGAGCCTAATAATCCTAGGCAACCAAGCCCCCTCAATCTCTTCCTCAGAGGCTAGCTCATTGAGTGGGTCGAACGGGCTTTCAAGATCCATCACGAGATGGGAGGTCTTTTTTTTCCTTTTTTGTACTCTCAACTATTTATTATATCAGTTTGTCGGCTAAAACCATCTGATGCGTGCAGTCATTCTCACCTAATGAGCTTTTCATGTTTCGCCGATATCGGGCGTTCTTTTAGAAAAAGAGTTTCAACCTTCTTTCTGCCATCGTTGACCCGATCTTGAGAATTAATCACCCAAAGCTACCCCTAGGAATCCAATGAATTTGCTCACTGACCAACCTTGCACCTCCATACAGAGCGGGCAGCGTTGGCCCTCTACAGTTTGTGCCTCTCTTTGAAAGTCGTTTGTAATGAGTCGGCATTTAGTCACCGGAATTCCAGTGCACGAAAGTGCATAGTGTGAGGTGGATAGAAACATGTCTAAAGGAGGGATTAGCCCGAATTTAGAGGTTGTTCTGTTGCAGTGTTCTCTACCCTCAGCTGTTCCGGGTCAAATGCTGCGACACCGGGAGTTTTGCCCTAATAGCAAAAGAAGCGAGGGGAAAAAAAGAAACATTCGATTCTATTCGCAAATTCGAATTCAAAACTCCTGTGCCCACCACTCTGGAATACTTAAGGCCCTTGCTAAGGGAGGAAATGGGGGAGCATGTGTTCCTTGAAGAAGCATACCCTAAGCTGATATTGGAGCCTGGAAAATGTGTGATACATTGGAACGCCAGGGGAATCATTTGAGTATCAAACCCAAAACTTACGACAATCTGGCAAGTGTACGAGTGCCGTATGCTGGTGATCCCCATTGGTGGTGATGTATTAGTGATCCTCTGTTTTCTCCAGGGCCGCTTCAAAGACATCTTGCACGATTTCGACCTTTCCGACACATTGAAGATGTGCTACCGTAACACCGCAATTCTGGACAGAAACAGAGCTGAAAGTAAAGACTTTCAGGATGAAGTGTAAGGATGTAGTTTACGGCGTTAACCAATCTCGTTTTTGGAATGTGCCCACTGGAGTCGCAATCAAGCAAAGCGGATTCCTCACAGTACATATGATCAAAAGGCTCTGATTAATATCCATCCCCCATACAGCAGGGCCAAGGTAGGTCGAAATAGTCTTTTCTACTTCGAGCATTTTTTGAAAACTTCTTTCCGGCCTTTCGTTGGTTTTTGGTGGTACTTTTGGTGGTTTTTGGTGATTCCTGTTTTGGCACTCTCATGAATGTAAACCAATGGAACTAGTGTGATCAAACTATGAAGGCTAAAAGTCAACTGTAGCTCTAAATCTAGAATGTTGGGCAGAAAAAAGGAAAAGCAAAGAATAGGTGAAAACAGGAAAAAGACAACTAAAATCCCATGGGAAGATGTTGAGAGCCGATGTGAACTCGCTAGCTCATGTTTGAAGGTCATTCCCGAATCGAGTTCGATAAGACTAACCGGTCTTTTTTTGTAGAACAAACATCCACGCAGAGGGCTAATATGAATGCACCCCCAAATGAAACTGGCTATTGTCGAGATTTTTTTTTTGGGGCGAAAAAAAACGGCAACCAATGAAAAAAATCTCGTTTCATTACGTTCTATAACGGACGGGATTTTGAAACGTTGGAAAACTGAAAGCTTCGACATTATCTTAAATCTTATTGATAGATGAGCTTCTCGGCCGGTATTGGGGGCTCTGGATAGAGTTCCACGAGATATCTTACAATTTTTACTCTTTCCATTCAACTTTTTTCTGAGAAGCTCAATATTCTGTTTAGGTTATTTACNTCTCGTTCCATTACGTTCTATAACGGACGGGATTTTGAAACGCTGGAAAACTGAAAGCTTCGACATTATCATGAATCTTATTGATAGATGAGCTTCTCGGTCGGTATGGGGGCTATGGATAGAGCTCTACGAGATATCTTACAATTTTTACTCTTTCCATTCAACTTTTTTCTGAGAAGCTCAATATTCTGTTTAGGTTATTTACTGGGAATGAATTCTTCGGCGCTCTCCTCACCCTATGAAGATTCCGCCGCTCATTCGATTCCCATCATACTCGTAGTACCATATGAATGTAGTGTAATTTATATGCTCTATGCGTATTGAGGTATTGGGGTTTGTGGAACCTTGAGCCTTTTCCACAAGTCCCACAAGTCCTGGTTAGTGCTCCAGGAACATACTGATAGTGGAGGGGTCTGTAAGAACCAAATCATCCTTATAGAATGCTGGTAACCTCGAAAACTCTGCATCATTCCCTTTTTGTAAATCGCCATGGGACAACTTCGAATGATTAGCATTACCTTTTCTTTTGCAGACAGTATTTGAATTGTAATCCAGCCCAGGTGTTTCTGACCCTCGTCTTTCGTCTTTCAGGCCAATTTGATACCAAGGGGAAATCTCAGAAAGGAAACCTGTTCATAAAAAAGTGAAGTTCCGTTTCCTTGGGGATGGGGGAAGGAGAGTAGGGGGATATTCGTAAAACATCTTCCCTTTTTGGTCCGGGAACATAAAAATGTCTGGGAGAACAGCATTTTTTCTGAATTCAACGGAGGGGATCCATACTGCGAAAGGCTTTATAAGGACAGCTTCAGTTGGAATTCGGACTGGCACGTTGTTTCGGACGAGTTCCTCAAGGTACAGTAAGCCAAATGTTCTTTATTAGGTGCAGTTCAACGAAGAACTCAATCAATTCCACATAGGTCCACCCAAGTCCAAATAACAAAAACTCGTATAACTACTCGTAACTCTGGTTCGCCTATGTCATTTCCCACACTGAATCTTTCTGGGAGCACTCGAATAAGTGGATTGTCGATGATGTATTCTATCGCGGGGGACGGAACATTCACCCAGAACTGGCTGGACGCGGCGAATGGCGCGGCGAGATTCCTGGCGTTCAGGACGACCTTGGTACCTATCATTGGGGCGCAAACTTGAAGTAGAGTACATTAGTATGGTCAGATGATCGTACTAATTGACTTTACTTCAAATTTGGACCCCAATAATAGGCGCTAAAGCCGTTTGAATCGCCACGAATTTCGCCGCGCGATATGCCGCGTCCATTCAGTTCTGGGTGAATGTACCCATATCCATTCTATCGCGCGCGCTTTTCGAAGTAGTTTATCGATTCCTCAGATCAAATCTCGAATCGATACCAAGTCAAGGAAGGCTTCCATCCGTTTGAGGTAATTGGTACAAGTAACGTTAAGTTGTAACAAAGGCTTCAATTACAAGGTAATAAACACGAATTGAGCATTGTTTGTTTTTCCGAAAGCATTGTATAAGCCAGATACGCATCCAAACGCCACTGCAATTTCGACCAGGGTCAAATGCGTGGTCACATCTCAGAAGAGTTTTGACAGCACTTGAATCTCGGCTTATCTTAGACACATAATAGTATTTTTGAGAGTATCGGATATGATTAGAATCAGCTCTATTTCCTGGTATACATAAGGGTGTTTGGTTTTTCAACTTTCCTGCTGAAAGGTCACTTAGTTCCTGCCAACTTCAGTGCCCCTTCAGGAACTTTGGATTAGGCTAACCACACGTCGAAGCCATTGAAGTGTAAAGGTAGGAGTATGGGTACGCGTACATTCACCCGATTCTGGATGGATTTCGTGGTGATTCAAAGAACTCGGGAGCCTATCATTGGGGCACAGGTTCAGAGTAGATTGGATAAGTAGGGGCCACTGGTGCTTCTTATCTACCCTACTTCGTATTTTTGTCCCAATGTAGGCGCCAGCGTTGTTTAAATCACGACGGATTTCGCCGCGCAGTTTACCGTGTCTATCCCGAATATCCCGTGGGTGGATGTTTCGTACCCTTAGGAGTATGGCTTAGAATTAAGCAAATCAGGTTCTGAGGCGATTTGGATCTGGTCTCTGCATCTGTTTTCGAAAACAAACAGCAGAGATGAAAAAACTTGTCAAGAGCTTTTCGATATTCTAAGTAATCGCAATAATGCACCGGCCAAATCCATCACGTTGCAAATCGGCGATCAAGTCTTAGTCTCAAAAATGGCGAATTGCGATTT